TATTTTAGTTTATATCTTTATTTTAGTTATAGCCTTCTTTGATTAATAGTTTACTATTTAATCAATTCAAATCTTGAATTATATTGATTACTAATGGCTTCACTTAAATAATCTTTATAATTTCTTTGATTTATTTTATTTTATTTTTATTTATTTACTCTTTGTTAAGATAATATCCATAGATATTGACACAGATCTTAAAAATCTTTTCATTATTGAAAGTTATAGTCTAATTCTCTCTCATTACCTTTAATTATTTCAGTCTCTTTTAACCCTATATCATTAGGATAAATTCAAGTAAAATCTCACTTACCATTTCACCATAATATATTTTTGATACCTTCTCTGTAAAAAGAAATCCTCTCCATATCTCTTTTTATATTCATATACTTTTTATATTTCTTTTTATTATACCCTTTTTTTCTTTATTCATAATTAATAAATATTTTGAGTCTTGAGTTTTCATGACCAATTATTATTCTTTTATTGAATTACCTATTAATTATCATCTTAAGACACATCAAATTTTCAATTACCCTATTAGAATACTCTCTCAAGATTATTACTCCTATTGTCACCCTCTTCAATCTAATTTCACTTTATAATTTTACACTTTTCATTCGCTCACAGAATATATTGGAGCAGTATTAATTAATCAAATCACATATTTATTATTTCAAGAACTAATTCAACTTGATCTTACTGAAATATATATTAGCTAACTAAGACAAAGAATAGTACAGCTAGTAAATATCTTTTTATTTGACAAAATTAATACTCAAGAAGAACAACATGATTTTATTGAACAATTTTACCAATAGTTCATCCATCAAGACTTTACCTTTCAACCAAGAACCTCTTCCATTCATAGTAATACTGATAGATATTATTCTAAAATCAAAAACTCAGAAAATTCACTGACATCCTCTATACAACCTATATTAACTTTGGAATCAAAAGAAAACAGTAATTATTCTGACTCAGAAGAAGATAATTAAACTGACTCAGAAAATAATAACCAACTATCAGAAGAAGAAGATAATCAAATGGCATAACAAAATAATAATAATAACTTAGATAATCTTATTATAGCTATTGAAGCTCTCACTAACTGAATGGCTAATTAAAATACTCAGCCTATGAAAAAGATCATTATTCCAATTAGAAAATACTGAGAAAATGATCAAGATCCAACAGAGTGGCTCAAAGATTTTAATATCACCATCCAAGCTAATGGAATTACTAATATTAGAAAAGTACAGTTAGTTAGAAAATATCTAGAAGGTGTTGCTATCTTATAGTATGATGAAAGAGAAAGAGATAATACCACTCAACTAATAACCTGGAATAATAATAATGACTAATCACATAGTTTCAGTTATTAATTTGCAGCTCACTTTCACACATGAGAAAGAATTGACCAATGGCAAGATGAAATTGAAATCTTATAACAAATAGATATTATGGAAGAATACATAAATAAATTTATCAATCTACTTCATAAAGTAGATCCTGAAAATGAATATTCAGAAGAATATAAGATCTAAACATACAAAAAAGGATTGAAACCAGAGATTAAAAAATAAGTTCAGATCTTAGCTGATAGAACTTTCTTGAATATATAGTGGTACGAAAATTATTTGGAAATTTTTAAATCACATTTTCTCAGAAACTGGTAATTCAATCATTTTAATTTTTTTTTATTTAAAAGAATAATAATACAAGTTTCGAACGAAATATAAATTAATAATTTATTCATTTGCCATTCTCCCTAATTATCACCTCACATCTCCCCGGCATCGAATCGACTAAAGATTCTAATATCTCGTCTGAAATTCATTCCTATTCCTCGACCATAAATATTTCCAACTCCTCTAAATCTTTCAGACTCCGGTTCTCCACATTTTTCTTAATAATTGATCACAAATTTTTGATAGAATTTAGATCGGGACTATTCGACAGCCAATCCATAACAATGGACACGTTACTTTGAAAAAAATCCTTCGCTAAACGACTTGTGTATTTTGGATCATTGTCCTGCTGGAACCGCTAATTATTTCCCATCATTTCTTCGACCTCGGGAAATTATTCTTGAAGAATTACAATATAAAATTTTGCATCCATCTTTCTCACAAAGCAGTAAAGGCTTGTTTTATTATGTACACAAAATCCACCTCACGCATAAATTTTTTGCCGGTTCTTAGGAATACGTCGAATAGGTCAGGTATATTTATACCACTAAGTAATGGTGTTCCTAAATAGTTGAAAAGATGTCTCATCAGAAAAAAGTGTTCAGGACCAATCATCATTAAGATGTTTTTGGGTCCATTCGATTCTTTTTTTCTTATGATTATCTGTAAGCATAGGTGTAGCAAGCGGGAGGGAATTTTTATAGCTGTGAGCAATGAGGTGAGTTCGAACTGTTTCTCTTCCAACTACGAAACTGTTTTCTTTCAATTTATTGACTAAATCACTGACAGAAATTGTAGAATTGTATCGTATATGTGCACTTATTGCACTAGCTATCGAGCTGTTAATTTTTTTTGATCTATCTTGATCTTTTTTTTGAGCCACATTCCCTTTTTCTTTCAATTTTTTTAAGTTCTAATAGATAGTGGATAGGCCAATATTTGTTCTTTACTGTATTTCCCTGGCCATCCTTACACCATTATTCCACAAATGTAGAATTACTTCACATTACTGTTATTTGTTCGATAATTCCATGTTGTGATATCATTGCTGGTGAGAAATATAAGAAAAAAGATGGTTAAAAAAAACAATGTGTTTCCCAAAATGTATGAAGTCTGTTTACATGCATGTTAAATTTTTATTTGCTCTTGTGGTCGTACCGCATTAGATGATTTTTATCGTGTAATAATTTTCCAAATAATTTCCGGTACCACTGTATAATATATTATATTATAAAGAATTTTAATTAAATATAATTAGATTTTTCTATAATTATATCTTTTTATAATTATTTTTTTTAAGTTTTCTAATTATTAATTAGCTATAATTAAAAAAATTACTTTATAATTATATCTTTTTTTAATTATTCAATTTTACTTTTTCAAGTATAATGATTATAAAAATATTTGATTATATATATATATTATAATTTTTATTTTAATATAAAATAAAAATAATATAATATTTGAATTTTTATTAATTATAATTAATAAAAAATTTATTTTTTTTTATATAAAGTCTTAAAAAATTATTTTATTATATATAAAATTAATTAATTAATACTTAATAAAAATTAATTAATTTTATATATAATTAGATAATATTTTTAAAAATCTGAAAAAAATATTTATTAATAAAATTAAAAACTTTTATATATAATAAAAAATTCAAGTATTATTATTATAAATTTATAATTAATAAAACTTTAATAATAATAAACTTAAAAATTATATATAATAATTAAATTTTTATTAATTATAATTAGTAAAATATATACTTTTATTACATATAAAGTTTTTTAATTTTATTAAAGTTCTATTTTAATATATTTTTAAATTTTTTCTGAGAGAATTATTAAATTATATATACAGTAACCATCAAAAGTAATGCAACACTTAAATTTTTTACTAATTATAATTAGTAAAAAATTTAAGTGTTGCTTTACTTTTGATGACCATTGTAAAATTAATTAATTTTTATTAATATTAATTAAATAAAAATTAATTAACTTTATATATAATTAGAATTCTTTTAGAAAAATCTGAAAATATATGTTAAAATAAAAGAATCTTAACTTTATTTTAAGTTAAATTAAAAAATATTTATTAGTAAAATTAAAAATTTTTATATATAATAAAAAATATATATTTTATTAATTATAATTAATATAAAAAATTTAAATATTATATTAATTATAATAAATATTATATATATAAATAAATTCTTATATTAAAGTTTATAATTTTATTAAGAAATAATTTTTATTTTTATATTAAATAAAGTTTATAATTTATAAAATAATATATTTTATAAACTTTATTATAAATACAAAAAATATTTATAAAAAATTTTAATAATTTAATTTTTATTTTTATATAAAAATAATATATATTTTCTGAAAGAATTATTTTTAATTAAGTTTAAAGATTTTTAGCTATTTAAAAAAAACTATAAAATTAATACTATGATATTCTTTATTAATAAGGCTAAATGAACAATATAATAAAAAAAAATTCATTCGCCTTTAAGAAAATAACAATTTATGCTAAATTAGAAGGATATGAGAAATTTTCGATATTGATAAAGTTCTCTTTGATAGTTCGCATAGAGACAAAACGGTACAACTAAAAAAAAACATTAGGATTTCAATTTTTTATCTAAGCAAATTAAATAACAATCGGTGGAATTTTTTATCACACACGTACCAAGTTTGGACTTCCGGCTTTGTCATTAGTACCAGAGGCACGAGCACCACCAAAAGGTTGTTGGCCCACCATAGCACCAGTAGATTTTTCATTCAAGTAAAAGTTGCCAGCTGCATGACGCAATTTATTTTGGCCGAGTAAAATGGCATGAAGATCTTGTGCGAACCTTTATGACGAAAATTTTAATTAATTAAAGGTATAATCTTAAGGAAATCGAAGGATAAAAAAAATAAAAATAATTACAAAGCTCCTGTTAAGCCATAGCCTGAAGTTTCGTTAACAACATCTAATATTTTCTCATAATCATCCGATTTATATCTGTTCGAAGAGCAATACATCAACGTTATATATATATAAGAAATCATTAAAATAATGTGAAGATATATATTTCTTATACTTACACATAGATAGTAAGAACAGGTCTATAAAGAATAAACCGGTCAATTCATAATAAAAATCAGAAAAAAAAGGATTCATTACGCGTAAATATAAAACCTGAACTTACCCAAAAATTTCTTCGGAAATTGTTTTACTCTTTGGATTTGATGTTACTATTATGGTAGGCTGAACAAAGTATCCTTTGGAATCGTCATAGCTTCCACCCGCGATAATTTCACTGCTCGCATCACCCTTAGCCCATTCAATATAACTTTTTATCTTTTCGAATGAGGCTTTGTGTCTAAAAAAAATATCAAGAGAACAAGTTTAACTTTTCATAAAAATTCAGAAATTTGACAAAAATCTGATGATATACATGACAGGGCCATAAAAATTTGTAAAATCTAATAAAATAAAAAAGAACTTTATTAATAAAAAAATGTGTGTATTTGTGAATATCAGCACTAAGGAGTCAATCAAAAAAGCAAACCTTCAACAGGGCCAACTTTGATCTTTGCATGCTCAGTAAGCAATGCTGTACGGAACTCGTCCCAAACTGAATCTGCTACATAAACACGCGAGGCTGCCGAGCATTTCTGCCCAGCGTATTCAAAGGCGCCACGAATAGTTTGATGAACTGCATTTTCAATATTTGCAGACTTATGAATCACATGGAAATTCTTGCCACCGGTCTCTCCAACTATTCGTGGGTAAGATTTATAAATATCAATGTTGTTGCCAATGTCTTTCCATAATTTTTTGAAAATTTGTGTTGATCCTGTAAAGTGCAATGAAGCAAAATCGGGCGACTTAAGTATTTGCTCCGTAATTTCGGCAGCTGGACCTGGAATAAATTGAATGACTCCATCGGGCAGGCCAGCTTCACGCAATATTTCCAATACAATCCAGTTGGATAACACGGCACTGGGTGAGGGTTTTAACAGAACGACATTACCCATCAAGGCTGGTGCACTGGGTAAATTACCACCAATGGCAGTGAAATTAAATGGAGCGATAGCATAAACGAATCCCTCAAGCGGTCGATATTCGAGTCGGTTCCACACGCCAGGGGCATTAACTGGTGGTTGTTGTTGATAGATTTCTTGCGCGTATTTTGCATTGAAACGCCAAAAGTCTATCAATTCAGCCGCAGCATCAATCTCAGCTTGCCTTATAAGATCAAAGAAGTATTTGATTAAAATTGTCATAAAGAAAAAAAGTAAGCTTCCGAAGAAATGTATTTAACACTAGAAAAATACCATGCATTTTTGCCCTGTCCAAGCATGGTTGCAGCCAATAATTTGTATCGATACTTTACAGATAAGAGGTCAGCTGCTTTCAAAAAAACGGCAGCACGATCATTAAATGGTAAAGCTTCCCAACTAGCTTTAGCAGCCAATGCTCCTTTAATGGCTTTATCAATTGTTGCAGGATCGGCCTCATGATACCTGGCAAGAACAGTAGCATGATCTGATGGAATTCGTTGTTCTTCAATTTTATCAGTACGAATCTGTTGAATATATTTTTTCATTTATAATTAATCTTTACAACCAACTAAAGTCAATGTATATTTTTAATTTTTTTTACCTCTTGGCCATTTACAAGAATGGGTATCTCGATCGGCGCTTTTTTTCTGAGTTCAGACAAAGCGGCCTGTAGCTTTGCACGTTCCTCACTATGAGGAGGATAAGTTTTCTATGATACGAACAAATAATATTTATTATTTTGTCTATCAATGAAAATTTTCAATAGGTTTGCAATACACACCATAGGCTCATTTTTAATTTCAGGTATTTTAAAAATGCCAAGGTTTGCTACTTGAGACATTATTAGTTTTTTACAGCTGAATATACTTTATGAGAGTATCTTTCTAAAGGAACAAATAGAACAAAGCCGTTATCGTTATATATTGTCGTGATCAAAATTTTTTCAGAAATTTGCTGAAATTTTTCGTGCTACAGATGTTAAGTTCCCACGATCGAAGTACCAAATTTAAGGGGTGTAAATATAGCGTGAGAAAAAGAATGGACCGATAAGAAAGATAAAATTCTTTGATTTGCACGGAATTGCTTTATTTGTTCTTTTACAGATTTTTCGTTACGAATTAATAGAGTATTTATAGCTGAAAGTACATAGATAATTAGGATATGGATTAATTAAAAATTTCAAAGTGGCAACAATACGCACCCACA